CTACATCTAACATGACCACGTAGGCAGCTATAGCTACCTGCGTGACATCCGGGTCCAGGATATAAATATAGACAAAAAAGATTTTATCGAGTGTGTATGATATACAAATCAAAAAAGAAACAATTAGTGGACATAACACTCCAAAAAGGGGGGCAAACCGCGGACACGTGTTTTATGTGTTTTATGACATTTTCTCTGTAAAAAACACTGATCAGCCATGCAGAACAAAACTGAAAATAAAAAGTTTGAGATGCGACTCACCTCAACCATGTACATGTGATATAATAAATACTTCAACTATCAAATACTTGGGTGTTATGCTGGACGAGCATTTCAGGTGGAATGAACACATAAGTCTAATCGAAAAAAGACTGAGAAAGCTTATTTACACCTTCTATAACCTACGAGATAATACGGTATTGTATAATAGCTTGGGGTGGAACATTTCATAGTACAATGACTTGCATACAAACAGTGCAAAACACTAATAAAAATAATATTCAAGAAACACAGAATTGCATGCAAGTCCAATGCAATGCAACTGAACGAATTTTTCTTTCAGATGATTTGATTTTATAGCCAGTCTTCAACCACATTAGATCGAAGTAAGTGGCTTCATAGTTCGCAATTATAGATCTTTCTCAAACTTATCTGCTATATTGACTCTTAGGAATCACACGTTAAAAGGTAAGACCTCGTTAATCCTTAGCTCGCACAAGTTTCTCAACTTCTGAGAGTTGTCGTTCGTAAGGGTGCGACAGCTGGTTAGCGGAAAAACAGATTTTAAACAGATTTTAAACAGATTTTTTAAACAGATTTTTCATGTAGCCTACATAAGGTCAAAATTAGAATATGGCTCTGTTCTATGGTCTCCATTCTACAATTTGCTGTAATACATTAATTGAAAAAGTTCAACGTCGTTTCCTGATGTTTAATTACTTCAAATCTTGTGGTATCTATCCTGATAGAGGTATTCCATATGAATTGGGCAAATTTCGGATATGCGGTTGGTTATCTCGTTCACAGGCAGATGGGGCGATGACAAATCTGTTGTTTGTGTTCGCTTCAGCCTAGTTCGAGAAATGATACTCTGAAGGAATTCGATTTTCAATTATCGGAAATCATCGACTTTGTGTTATTGATAGACACTCCCTTGTACTGACGAGAGGCCAAACAGCCCGAAACCGGTGTGCAAATGTGTTCCAATAATTGAAAATCTATTGCGGCAGCTGTATCGTTAACAGCATATGCAGGAATAACTTCAGTGAATAATCCTGCACTGACACTTGTCGGATATAATTCAACGCCCTCCATGGTATTGGCCAGGGGAGTAGTTGTTTTCCTGATAAGTTTCAGTCCATTAACCTACAGTGTAGGGAGTTGAGATTGGCCTGAACGAATTGTTCCTCTAGATCAGGGGTCTCCAAACTTTGAAGCCTTCGGGCCATAATGATTTTTTCAGTTTCTTCCAAGGGCCAATTTCTGCCCTTGGAGTAAATTAAACCGAGTAATTATCATTCTGTGTTTTTTTCTTCAACTCATCACAGCAATAGTAACAACAATTAGGTAATCATTGGCTGTCGCGGGCCAGATTGATGACAGTAAATCATTGGCTGTCGCGGGCCGGATTGATGACACTGGCGGGCCGGATTTGGCCCGCGGGCCGTAGTTTGGAGACCCCTGGTCTA